CCCCAACAATAGAGACACTTTGGACACTCATTCCCCCACCTCTCCCCCCTCCATAGAGCCATCACCACCTTCAATCACTTCACCTACAACACCCCCCTCCTCACCCCACACAAAAGAGGATTTCACACCACCTCCTCCCACCACAACTCTTCATATTCATGAAGCAGATGTGAGGAAGCAGTTTAAGAATCTGAATGCTCGGAAAGCTCCCGGCCCAGACGGTGTGTCTCCTGCCACCCTCAGACACTGTGCAAACGAGCTGGCCCCAGTGTTTTCTGGCATTTTCAACTCCTCACTGCAGGCATGTCATGTGCCTGCCTGCTTCAAGTCCTCCACCATAATCCCTGTCCCCAAGAAACCTAGGATCACTGGACTAAATGACTACAGACCCGTGGCTCTGACATCTGTGGTCATGAAGTCATTTGAGCGCCTAGTTCTCTCCCATCTCAAGACCCTCACGGCCCCCCTCCTGGACCCCCTGCAGTTTGCATACAGAGCCAACAGGTCTGTAGATGACGCCATCAACATGGCCCTACACTTCATCCTGCAGCATCTGGACTCCCCAGGAACCTACGCCAGGATCCTGTTTGTGGACTTCAGCTCTGCCTTCAACACCATCCTTCCAGACCATCTCCGAGGCAAGCTTTCCCAGATGAATGTGCCTGATCCCATCTGCCGGTGGATCACTGACTTCCTGACGGACAGGAAGCAGCATGTGAGGCTGGGAAAGAATGTCTCGGACTCCCGGACCATCAGCACCGGCTCCCCTCAGGGCTGTGTTCTTTCTCCTCTGCTCTTCTCCCTGTACACCAACTGCTGCACCTCCACCCACCAGTCTGTCAAGCTAATCAAGTTTGCAGATGACACCACCGTTATCGGACTCATCTCGGACGGGGATGAGTCTGCCTACAGGAGGGAGGTTGAACGTCTGGTGTCCTGGTGCAGCCACAACAACCTGGTGCTGAATGCCCAGAAGACAGTGGAGATTATTGTGGACTTCAGGAAGCACACAGCTCCACTCCCCCCCATCATCCTGACTGACACCCCCATCACCTCTGTGGACTCGTTCCGCTTCCTGGGTACCACCATCACCCAGGACCTGAAGTGGGAGCCCACCATCACTTCCGTCATTAAAAAGCCCAGCAGAGGATGTACTTCCTGAGGCAGCTGAAGAAATTCAACCTGCCAACACGGACGATGATGCAGTTCTACACTGCAATCATCGAGTCCATCCTCACCTCCTCCATCACCGTGTGGTACGCTGGAGCCACTATCAGGGACAAACAGAGACTGCAGCGTGTTGTGCGCTCTGCTGAGAAGGTGATTGGCTGCAGACTCCCATCTCTGCAGGACCTGTACACCTCCAGGACACTGCGGCGTGCAGCTCGGATCTCAGCTGACCCTTCTCACCCTGGACACAGTCTGTTTGACCTGCTCCCCTCAGGCAGGAGGCTCCGGTCCATTCGCACCAGAACCTCTCGCCATAAGAACAGTTTCTTCCCCTCTGCTGTCGGACACATGAACAATAACCATATGACTGTTCCCACCACTAACACATGACCCTACGCTGTGTTCACTGCATCATTCCATGTTTGGCACTGATCACCACCTGCACTCATGTATATATCATGTATATATCTATCCACTTAGCACTTTTAATTCTTATTCTTATTTTTATATTTTTATGACAGTATGGCAGATGCGACAAATATTGGAAATAAATCCACAGGCGTTGTAGTCCTGTAGTTAAGGAGCTCTTCTCTGGTGTACGAATATCCAGAGGAGTGCCCAGACACAGAAGAAATGCACAAAAACAAAACAAAAGTAACGCACTGAAGCACCAGGGCGACCATCCGCGGCGCCATCTTGGTTTTGGTCTCAATTAAGCTGTAACCAATAACAATAACATCAATTTTTTTTAAAAAAACAGCTTTGAATGATTTTTAATAACCACGTGTGATACACAGACTCTAGTCTCTTTGATTAACGTCTTGGGTGTATGCTCACTGTTGTTCCTTCGATTACCTCACCCGCCATTTAAGGGCTTTTTGTTAGGAAAGCTTTTAACCATCTGTCCTTCAAAGGCGTAAGCATGCGATGTATACGACACATGGACACGTCTATAGTGGCACTAAAATCCATCCGTGTCGTGCCTCTAGGTACTAATGCATTTATTGTCTAAGTATTATTATCATGTTTAATTTTTGTATATCAAGTAAAAACAAAATACACCATTTTATAGATTTAAAAAACAAAAGAATTAAAAAAAATATCTCTCAATCAAGTTAGCTGTCAACTGACAATTATAGATTTAAAGTGAACTGATGATTCTGTTGTTCTAACATCACTACCAGACATTTTCAGCCCCATCAGCAACACATAAAAATACTTATTTGTAATATAAATAATTAACCTACACAGCCTAGTGTGTAGCTTTTTTAGAAGAAAAGTGATGCACAAGAGGAGTGAGCAGTGGTGCAATGCATCCGCCTTTTGAAATTGGCGCTCGTTTTAAAAAACAATATAATAAAAGGGCTGCTTGAGGTGGGCATTCAGGATGTAGAACACTGTTTACTGTTTGACATACTGTACAACCCTTCAAAAAAGCCTGTCCATGGCCTCAGTAGTGACTGTTCATCCATGTGTATTAACTAGAGTCTAGAAATAGCCCGTGCACTATTAATTCTGATGGTGAAAGAAGTCTATATTGAGGGGACCACATCCTCTCGGCATGTGGAGATGTTGTGAGGGGGTAGATGGAGGTTGGAAATGTCACTCCAGAGAACAAAGCACACTTATTCATCACTGAACTTTTGCCCAAGATATGTGTGCACTCAAACACCCGCAAACAGTTAAGTCGCCTTGGTCTTTCCCATAAAATTTCACTGAGGATCACTTTGAGAATACTAATACCTGTGGATGTAATTAAAACGACTGAAAATAATAACAACAGCTAGAAAGGGAAGGAAACTTAAATCTTTTCCAGAAATGTGAGCAGACGTACACACCAAGGTCTGCAAGGGCACCAGCAGTCTTTACTAATTCCTAAAGCCCTCTGGCACTGGTACAGAGTGAAAGGGACGCATATGTAGCTTTACTGTCAAGAAAATCACTGGATCCTTACATTGTTTGGACTTTACATATAATCCTTTCCATTGATAAAATTATGTTGAGTGTGCCTGGCTGGAAATCCACAAGTACAGCGCTTTAGCACACATGCTTTTTCCCTTCTCTGGTTTTCCTTTAATTTGCAAATCTTGTAATCTAAGCCTAGAGCTGACTGAACCGACTTCTAAACCAGCACTGCTATAGCAGCCAAGAGTCCAATCTGTTTTCCATTTAAGTGTCAGGACGGCATCCTTTTTGGTGGTTAACAAAAGCTGTTATTTCAAAATGATTATATGCTAAAAATTGTGCGAGGACCTTAGTAAGTTTATGAACAGGCCCGATGGAAAGTACAGCGCCGCACCCGGAAGCTTTTTTCCTTCTTGTCTTTGACCAAAGTGTTATTTACCGAGCACTTCTGTAGAGGGAAGGACCAGGCTGTGCCATTCAGCCAGAGGTCAGGGTTTCTGCTTTTCAACACAGTACATGTTTTCAGCATTAGTGTTGAACGACGCCTGGGTGATTTGCCAAACCGTCAAAACGCTGCCTGTCTCAGTGTCAGTGAGGACATAGGAAAAGCAGAAGCAATGGCAATGGCGTCAGAGAGACAGTGGCGGCAGTTCCTGGAAAACATCAAGAAGGTGGTCTCCATCGAGACCCAGCTGAAGACAGACTTCCTTATTTCATTTCCTGGGGAGGATATATTGAGTTAAATTTTGTGTTGCTCTGGAAGAGCAGCATAAGTAAGTGGAAGAGGGGGGAAGAAGGGAGGGCACGAACTGGGTATAGAGAAGGGAGTGCAAGATGCCTCAGGGTCTGTCACTTTTGAAGTAAGTTTTCTTGCACTAAACAAAGACATGACATTCCCAGGCCTAACCCTAACAATCCCAGGCTTCTGCACATCTGCTCCATCACCCTTCTCCCAGCCTGTGGGGCATTCAGGTACTGCTCGCATTCCAGCCACACTGCCACTAATAGTCACTAAGCCCACATGGGTGGCTCACCTCAAGTTGCATGTGAAGGGTTCGTAACAAAATGTTGGGTGTCCTTTGATGCCTCTTATTTTTAAAAATGACTTTCAGATGGAGCATTTGTTGTCCTTCATAACATCACCGAAAGTAAAACACTATTGGCAGGTTTTAAAGAAAGGACGGCTAAATCCCATGAGACACAGGTTGCTTTAGTTTCTCACTTTCCAGTAAGTGCACTTTTAATTAGAAAGTAGATGCCTGTCTTTACTAGGCAAAGACAGAGCTTAACGGGCATCTAGTCTTTAAGTTTAAGACGACATTATAGAACATCATTTTTTGCCCCTCCACTAGTTAAGCTGTGGAGGGGCACTTAGAATAGCACAACATTATAGCAGAAAGATGTGAATCTATAATTCATCACTTATAAACACAGGGGAAGCAAAGTCACTATTTTGCATTGCAGTTTATGGGTGACCGACAGGAAGTGATGTCAGTTTTATAACGAAGCCTGAACTCACCCAGAGGACCCCGTGCTCTTGCAGACCCCAAGGAGGGGCCTCTTGTCAGCAAAACTGTCCAGCTTTACAGGACCTGAGGAGGAAGAGGAGTCAGAGGAAGAGCCAGATGAGAAACAGCAGAATCTGCACACAACAAAGAGAGACATTCTTTACCAAACATGTGAGGGCTCGAGCACTCCCCACCCTCATACAACAGGCAGGCTATTACCATGGCAGGAAACGTGCTGATTACATTACTATGGTTGCCCCATAATCCAATTATGGTTGCAAAATATTTTTTGATAAATGGAGATTTTTTTTCCCCATCCAAAACATGGAATCACTTAATTTAAAGACTTTGTTTGCTAGTTTCCACTGATTTTCTACTGTAAATTTGAGCTTAAAGAATAAATGAAGCTTGATGTAAAATTATTTAAAAAAAAAAACAAAACATTTTTGTTCCTCCAAAAAAAGTTAACAAAACTCGAAAATGATGGAGAAATCTTACTGAAAATGCAAAGTCCAGTGGGCATGTGAAAAATGAAGAGAAATCATGCTGCATTAAGTATTTCTGATCCCATATTTTCCCTAATTGTCTCATTTTTGAAGTTTGGCAAAGGATAAGGGGACTGAGTGGATGGGGGTGCTTAGACTGAAGAAGATGTTACCCTTTAGAGGACTGTAATTTGAGGGTTGACAGCAATCAGCCCAAGTTCCTGTGGTATGGCATGAGAGCAAACGTGCCTTCCGTACCAGCCTTTAACACTACCAACAGGATCCTTCTCTCCTTTCATGTTTCTGTCATCAGTCAAGATATTGAGCCGGAACATAAATATGCTCCTTGGAGACTTGGTGAATGGCACATTTAACTAAAAAAAGAAAACATTCTGGGAAGATGCATAGAGCAACTTTGATTTGATTAATATTGCAATGAATAGTAACAGAAACAAGTAAGTGTATGTTTAAATAATACTATGACATCGCCCGAAACATCAGGCTACATATTAAACTGCATGGCATTTCCTCTAGCATGAAGACCAGAGAGCATTCACAAAGTATCTCCTCAATGCTCATTTGTTGTCAGACAGAGAAGTCATTGCTTCATTTTCCAAAACAACAAAAGATCACAGCTCGTAAACGAGATGTGGATAAACGCGTTTACTTCATTTGGAAAACCAGCTTTTCCTTCTCTATTCCAGGAAGGAGGAACCTTTCCTTATTATAATCAACACCTATTTTCAGGGCTTTACGAGTCCACCCACCCACAGCCTCATATCCCAGACAATTGGCCTTTTAATGGCTGGCCACAGTGCAACACTGTTTGCACCCTAACAGATTACAATCAGTGTCCTTCCCTGCAGTGGTACAATTCATATTTATTTTCTGCTGAGAGAATTACTCCCCTCATGTGTCGGGGCTATCTGCTGCTTCTTATTACTGTGGTTTGCTTTTATCCACTTCCAGCACTCCTCAAAAGCTGCCATTGTGTGTTGTTGAAATCTGCCAAAAGACTGCAACATAGACGGCGAGCACAAAGACGATTTTCTCACCGGAAAAAAAAAAAAGCCACAAACCATCTTTCACAGAACCGATTGACACCTGCAGGGATTAAATTTAAACGTCATGTCTGTAAAGAGTCTCATCAGTGGAACAAGTCGACCATTTGCACCATGACTTTGAGAATATGTGAACTGCAATTAATACTGCATTCAACCTTCCATGAGTAGAACCAGTGCCACATTTGTTTGTCATTACTGGGACTATTTCACTTACATTACAAATGAAATGAAATGCTTTAACCTTGTTTGTAATTCAGGTCATATAAAACAGCATTAGGTAAGCAGATCAAACGTGCATTCACAGAACATCATGGGAAATGTTTCCTTCCAAAAAGAAATGAATCTGAAAGTACTGTTCAATATACTGATTCACAAAAATTCTCATTTTCCTCCTGCATTGTAATTTTCATTTGGACCACACTACATTACTCATAAAAGCAAATTGTGAGTAATGTAAATCACAAAATGCTGATTTTGAAAGCCTCTATTACACTTTCCAAATCTGCGAGTCAACTTTAGGGTGAGTGACGGAAATCTCCCTATCAGATAGTAAGAGAGGGGGTCTATGCAGGAGGCTCCGCGTGCCAGTCTGTTTTTTGTCCTTGAGGAATTTACACTACAACGCACTAATTATGCATGTGCATGCATCCAGGTGGTGGATATGGAAGCACACGCCACTTGGTGAAGCTACAGAGTGTTATTCAGGTGCTGTTTGATCGCTTCAGATGCCAGACTGCAGTTTCTATGTGGTTTCCTTGCTGTACTTAAAGTTCATCTCAGGTTGAAGCAGCCACTGTGGTCTGTGTGATCTCAGCTTTTACATTAAGCACTATGAGCTTTCTATTGTTGCCCTGCAACAAACTGGCAACCTGTTCAGGGCGTACCACGCCTGTGGCCCCATGTCAGGCTCCAGCTCAAGACCCTGAATTGGATGAGTGGACGAAAATGTTTTTCTTTCTACTTCCTTTTTTTTAAAAAAAATAATATTCACTAATTTTTCTGAAATAAAGGTATCCAAAAATTATCATTAATAATGAACAATGATTCTTTTTCAATGTTTGCTAAAAGAAGATTTTCTGTGGCATCATTTTGTAGCAATCATCCTTGTCAGGTTACCGCGGCCCGTGTGTTACATTAATGATATAATACTAACGCAAATACAAAACTCAAATTTGATCAAAATGCACTTGGGATACCCTTTGTTTGGCTAAACTCTTCATGACAAAAGGACACCAATGCCTGCATTACTAGTAATATGGACTACTGACTGAGAGCGGGCTAACAGTAATCGTAGATTTACGACAACATTAGGATGAGGAACCAAGGAGCACTCTTTAATTTTAATGATATAGCACCACTTAAAATGCCCACAACCCAAAACTACATTACAATAGGCCATCCGAAATTTAATTTTAAGTGTTGACCTTGGATGCTGAAATCAAGTTAACCAGAGTTTTTTTTCCAGGACAGACATTTCCGAATTATGCTGAAAAGACACTTCAGGAGACTTGCAAAGGAAAAATGTTTAAATGAACTTCCTCGACATCCCTGTGTGGTTTCAGAAGAGACATTTACTGTTAAAAAAAAAAAACTCAGACAGCATCTGAAGGTGGCACAACACGAGCTGAGATTTTATCTACTACAAGGTATAAAAGCTTGTGTTTCACAGTTGAATGCAGTTTCTTCTGAAACAGATATGTAGATGTGGAACTTTAATACCACTGATACCATAAAGAAAGCTACATAATGATCAACAGCATTAAAATCACTGATGGATGGAAAACATTGACCATCTCATAATTTCAATCATGCAGTGTGTTTATGAAACCTAAGGTCCTGATATCAATGCAGATGTTACTTTTGATGCGTAATACACAGCTGAACACTGTTGTAGACTTAAACAGCCTTTGAAAGCAAAGACGCTCAATGACAGTAGCAGCCTCCTCTACCAGCCAATGTGGGCTGCACACTGCAAAACACCATAAATAGCCTGTGCACAAAATACAAATCTCACAGCACATTACCCAAAAGATCCTGCCACCAAGCTAATACCTTATAAAAATAACTAAAGGAACCCATCTCTACCCTTATAGCAGAGATGTGAAAAATAATGACACCTGCTGTGTTTGTTTTTCTGTGTTTCCTCAGCAGAAATGTTTCTCAGCAGCACCGATAAAAGAACTGACAACAAATGTTGTCAACTTCACCTGGCGATGGTTTTAATGCTGTATAATCATGTCATCACTACTGTATAATTATTCAAGCAAGAATATGCAATATGTGCTTAACTGCAGGTAGGTGCATATCATATTCAAGTAACAGTACTGAAAATACTCACTGTTATGAGGAGCTGGCAGAATCCGAGCAGCTCGCACTGGACCATGTCGCACTGAGAAAAGCTCTTGAGCTTCTCCTGCCAGCTGAAAAAAAAACATATATTAGACTTGAAAGTAACAGAAGTTCACAAATCAGCACAATAAAAGAGGTATTTTTACTCAGTAGTACAGACCAGGATTAAAAAATGCAAAACAAAACGTATTTAGGTATTAGGCCGTTCGGAGATCTTTATGTCCGGCCACGTAGGGAACTGTTTCAAAACACACGTTTCTTTTAAAGCGTACAATTTCTTGTCATTTTTTTTTTAACCTATGATCTGATCTGTTCACACTAAGAAAAACAACACGTTTTCTCGCGGTGTAAAACTACTTTTCATAGAAAATGGCAGGGTGAGGTAGGGAGGGAGGATGGGGAACATCCACATGGTGGTCTGGTTGTTAAGCTCCAGCCAAACCACGAAGTAAAATCCACCAAGCACAAAATAAAAGTCCCAGTGGCATCACAACACAAATGAGCTGACTCCACTTACAGAGCCAACAAGGAGAGGTTGGGGATGTGGGTTAATGCCAAGTGGGCAGCAGCCCATAATGCCTCTGTAGCAGAATACATAAGAAACAGCCAGTGCGTCTTAACATAATTCAGAATTATCTTTGATTTCTGATTTACTGCATACAATAGAATGATGGGAGACCCGTAGCTGAATGTTTCATTAACCTTTATTATTTCCACGGTGTCTGTCATCTTTAGCAGTTTTTGGATTTATGCTGTAAATTATGTTTCCATCATTTCATTTTTCATCCACTACTTCAGGTACTGGCTTTCTTAATTAACCACCCCATGACTTCTTTGTTGCCAAGATTTTGTGTTACACTATATTAAAAAAATTAAATAAATTTTTTAAAAATAAATAAATAAATAAATCAGAATTTTCAGCTACTATATCATCTTTGGAGGGAACTGTGCATTTTGCATTGGGGGCAATGGGAACAATGGGGACGATGGGTTCAATGCAAAGTTCTGTATTTTATGTTAATTATGGCAAATGATTCTTTTTTCACTTACGTCTGCAACTCTTATCACATTTTTAATGAATCTGTCCACACTGAAAAATTTAATGGTCAAAACTGTAATTTGGTTTTAATCTAATGATGGCAGTGTCATTAGTGCAGCAAGACCAGTAGCCACAAAACAGGCTTCAGTCCGACTTTGAGAAGGAAAAGTGGACAGTGGAAAGGATAAATAAAATATTTCACTCTACCACGAGTCATGCTCACAAATTAATAAAACACCCTTAAATGTGTGTAAATGACCGCAGTAATTCAATTTTCTCATTACAAATATGCAGTGTATTGTAGTTTTTCCTTAATAAAGTCAAGGCTAACATTTTCATTTAATTTGTTTCACCTGCATTTTATTTCTTTTAGTTGCATAAATATTTGATGATATCTTAGGTAATTTCCCACCCAGAAATATGAACCACATGGAGTGAAATAGCAGACTTAATTTAATAAATTAAAAGGCAAACAAAACA